TAGGAATGGTTTCAATCCTTAACTATAATAATTGCATATTTTGTTCCAAATTTGTGAAGAAATTCCAGAGTAAGGAAAATAGGTCGAAGATAGAATTTTTCAACTTCTGTTTTGTGACGAAACAAGTTTGGTAAAGTTCAAAGTATGTCTAAGACAATTTCTGTTTTGTGGCGAAAACATAATCTTAGGTAGAGTTTTGAGATGAAACTTAGTATGATGAAAATGAAGATCTATGAGAGCACTCAAATTTTAGATAAATTTGGTGAGTTACTGCTCACTCCAGGAGTCTTACTTTGAGGGAGACTCTACCTCCAGAAGGGGAGAGAGAGAGAGAGACTTAGGAGGGAAACTCTGAACTCTTATTCTTCTCTTCTCCTTTTTATACACTGCCTTTACATTCTGTTAATCTTGTTACAACTGTCTACAACCAACAGATTTCGGACTTGCTTACATGAACCTCTGGTATACACCTTCTTGATCGGCCCGACTGGCTTAAATGGGCTTTTATCTTGCTCAGCATTCTTACCAATTCCATCCCCCATTAAAGCAACCTTGTCCCCATGGTTGAGATGACTGAACTGGTGCAAGATAGTATGGTAGTCTTCCCATGTAACATCTTCAAATGGGAGATGTTTCCAAACGATTAGGGCTTATTGAACTGTGGCACTACCCTTCTTAATCCTTTTGTAATCCACAATTTCAACTGGTTCCGGTAGCAAGTTCCCCTCACCTAAGAACTCTGGTAATGTTGGTGAAACAGGAGCTGTGGGCCCTAGGTGTTTCTTCAGCAGGGAACATGGAAGGTGGCATGTAACTTGGATGAGGCTGGCAGGTCTAGCTTAGGCAACCCTACCCACCTTCTCAAGGATCTGAAATGGCCCATAGAATCGAGGGGCAAGCTTCTGGGAGATTCTCTTTGACAGGATAAGTTTTTGGTAAACCCAGTCCCCTAACTCATAGGAGACATCCCAGTGCTTCTTGTCATAGTGAATTTTCATCTATTGTTGAGCCTGTAGTAAGTGGGTTTTAAGGTCCTTAAGGACAGTGTCTCGCTGGGCCAAATAATCATCTACTTCCGCAAATGCAGTTGAGCATTTTTCATAGGGTAATAAGGATGGTGGGTCATGTCCATATAGAGCTTTGAATGGGATTGCTTGTAGTGATCCATTGGACGAGGTATTTTACCAATACTCAGCCCACGATAACCAGTTGAGCCACGTCCGAGGGTAATCACTTGCAAAACATCATAGATAAGTTTCTAATGTGCGATTAACCACCTTGGATTGGCCATCCGTTTGTGGACGGTAGCTGGTTCAGTGGTGTAGCTTGGTCCCTTGGGCCTTGAAATATTCAGACCAGAATTTGCTCATGAAGGCTGCATCACAATCTGAAATGATAGTTCTTGGTGTCCCATGGAGACAAGTGACCTTCTGAATGAAAAGATTGGCCACTTGTGCTGCTGTCAATGGTGCAAAGTGGGCATATTTAGAGAGTCCGCTACAAAGATTACAATGACTGTCTTACCCAATGAAACCGGAAGGCCTATGATGAAGTCCATCGTGATTTCCTCCAAACTTGATCAGGAAATGGGATGGGCTGCAGTAGACCAGCTGGTGTTTGAGTATCATACTTGTGTCTTTGGCATATGGTGCACTGGGCTACAAAATCATGGATGTGCTTCTTCATGCCTACTGAATGGAAATGTGAAGCCAACCTTTTGTGAGTGCATAAGACTCCAGAATGACCACCCCCCAGAGAGGCATGAAATAGTTCTAGGAGGGCCAGACGTTGAAAACTGAATATCCAGGTAGGTGGCCCTTGCCTTGCATAAGCTGATTCCGAATTTTAGTAAGGTCTTGAGAGACCTTTTCTTTCAGCTGACCCACCAAGGGGTAAATGGGCTGAGACACAGATAGTTGTTGGCCCAATTCATGTTGCCGTGAGAATGCATGGGCAATCATATTAGTGAGGCCAGATTTATATTAAATGGTGAAATCAAAACCTAACAATTTATACCACCACTTTTGTTGAACTTCTGAGAGGCTTGGTTGTTCCACCGAATGTTTTAGACTTCTGTGATCTGTGTGGATAGTAGTGGTGGCGACCCAGTAAATACCCTTTCCACTTTTGAATTGCAAGGGTCACAACCATCAGTTCTTTCTCATATGTTGATTTCCCTTGGGCTTGTTCTGAGATGGTTTTGCTGAAATAAGCCACTAGTTTCCCTTCCTGTAGTAAAACAGCTCCTAGATCCGTGCCTAACGCATATGATTCTACTACAAATTCTTTAGAAAAGTCTGGTAATGTTAACACTGGAGGGGTAATTAGAGCATGCTTCAGTGTAGTAAAAGCTGAATTAGCTGTTTCAGACCATTTGAAGTTGTTCTTCTTTAGTAAGTGTGTTAGAGGAGAAGCCGGAGTACCATAATTCTGTATAAATTGGTGGTAATATCCTGTAAGACCCAGAAACCCCTGAAGGTTCTTTACAGAAGTGGGTCATGGCCAAACTAGCATGCATTGAACCTTTCCCGAGTCTGTTGTAACTGTACCGGGTGAGACGACATGTCCAAGATAATGAATCTGTTTTGTGGAAATGTGGATACTTATAAGGCCGTATGTTTGCTATTACGGCTCCCAGTTGTATCGAAATCCAGTGATCTTGTTCTCTAGATGGTGGCAGCTCTGTTGGTTCTTGAAAGATGTCTGAGTATTCCTGCAATAGTAATTGGAATTCTTTCTCTTAGGCTTCTATTCTAAAGCATCCGCAATCCTCCCATCAAGAGTGTTGGGCCTGAGTAGCTAGGACGACTCATAAGAGTGGTGTTCATTGTTGGTTGACAGTTTTTGAGTATGGTTTGCAGACRACTTTGGTGGACTGTGTTCAGCCCGATTCCTTTGATGTGGTGTGGCTTCCTGATTTGGAGGAAAGCCATGGTAAGCTTGGCCCAGTCATGTGTTACCAGGCCCAATTTGCTTAACCAATGGATTCCTAACACAACGTTCGACCCATAGAAGTCGAAGGGATGAAGGTCCATCCTAAATTCACAACCTTTAATGAGCAATGCCACCTTGGCACAGACCCCCTCACATCGGATACCTCCCCCATTCACCACATGTACAAAGAAGGGAGTAGTAGGTTACACAGGTAACCCCAATTGTTTGGTGAGCTTCACTGTTACAAAGTTAGAGTGCTCCCACTATCAATGAGCACCGAGACACATCGGCCCACCCATCACCCTCATTGTCCTGGTTGAGTGCGGACCTATAAGAGCTTGTAGGCAAATGGCTGGTTAATTGAATTCAGTTCCTCATTCTGGTTCACCTGAGTTCTCAATAGGTTCCTCCCCTACATTCTTCAGAGTCGGTCTATAACAAAAATGCTTGTTGTTTCTTATAGTGATGACTGGGGGAGAATTTTTTGTCACAGTTAAAGCAGAGGCTTCTCTCCCGGCAATCTTTCATCTCCAAACATGACAGCCGTTTTAATGGAATTGCATGGGTTTTCTGTAGCGTGGGTGGATAGTGTCCTTGTAGTTCTGTCCTAACCGATGATGTCTCAAGGATGGGTCTCCTACTTGACAATTCTTTCTCAGTCCATTGATCTTGTCTTCATGGAGTGTCTAATCCTATAGCTATGGCTACCATATTAGGCTGCATAGCTTTGACCTCAATACAAAGATCGTCTCTGAGACCCCCAACAAAACAACCGATGAGGACTTTTTTCGGCCAACCTTGTACTCTTGTCGCCAATTGATCGAATTCCACCTGATACTCTCACACCATCCCAACTTGATGAATCTTGCCCAGTGCTTCATCAAAATCTTCAAAAGAGGAAGGCCCAAATTTGATGCAGAGAGACTCCATGAAGTCATTCCAAGTTGGTTGAGAGTGTGATCGTTTGTACCACTGAAACTAGTGAATTGCTTCTCCTTAAAGGTAAATTGAAGCCACTGATACTCTCTGGTGACCGGTGATTTCTTGGAGGTCAAAGTATTTCTCCGCACAATAAATCCAAGACAGAGGATCTTGGCCACTGAATATTGGAAATCCATCTTTACCACTTGGGAGTAGCTTCTGCCGTTCCTTGTGCTACCCTGGCTGAAGTCTTCTGCTTTCAACTTCTTTGTTGTTCACCAGAGGGTTTGACGAATCTTGCTTTTGCTCTGATAGCAGAATTGGTGAGTTCCTGCTCACCCCAGGAGTCTTACTTCAAGGGAGATTCTGCCTCCAGAAGGAAAAGAGAGAGGCTTAGGAGGAAAACTCTAAACTCTTATTCTTCTCTTTTCCTTTTTTATACACTACCTTTGCATTCTGTTAATCTTGTTACAACTGTCTACGGCCAACAGATATTGAACTTTCTTACATGGACCTCTGGTATACACCTTGATGGACCCAACTGYCTTAAATAGGCTTTTATCTTGTTCAGCACTCTTACCACAATTGGTGGCACAAAAAGAAGATTAAAAAACTACCAGAAACAGGAATTTTTTTTTATTAAGTAAACTGAAGAAAAACATACCTATATTAGTTTTAGACTTTCAAGGAAGTTGAATGAACCCCTTCAGTGCAGAACTTGTGAGCTTTTGATGGCTATAAATTCTGTTTTCAGAACTATAGAGAAGATAGAGGGAAAATCCAAAACCGCTCATTTGGCACCTAGAACCACTTGCCTTTATGAGAAGCACCAACTATAAGCATAATATACTGAAAAATCACTCCAGTATCAATAACCACATCTTACTATCAAAAAATACAAAGAATACATTCAAACAATTCCATAATTGACCACTTTGCTCTAGCATCATTATGATTTGTATTTATGGACCATGTCAAATCTAAGTGGTGGCTCATTTATGAAATGATTTGATTCAATGGACACGCACATGAATCATGTAGGTTAAGACAATTTTATGTTGTTGTTGTTGTTGCTGCTGCTGCTGCTGCTGCTGTTTTACTTATTAGATTGTGGAGACTAACCTATCTATTATAATCACTTGCAGCAAACCAAGTTCATCCAAAGAATTGGTACCCAATCCCTCTTGTATTTTGTCGACCATGGGGAAAGCTACCAGAGAATGTTCCTTGTCATCCAAAACTTGCTGACTTTGCCAATTGCATGAAGAAGAAGGGTCGAGGAATGTCCATCTTTTTCTCCATCATTGATGGGGACTACCATGAGTGTGCCAAGGATGCTAAAACTGCCTGCAAGCAGCTTGCTACCTACATAGACTACAGGCGCTGTGAAGGTGTAGCTGAGATTGTGGTGGCCCGCAACATGTGTGATGGTTTCCGTGGGATTGTCCAAACTATGGGCCTTGGCAATCTCAAGCCTAACATTGTGGTGATGCGATACCCTGAGATTTGGCGCCGGGAGAACCTGACCTATATTCCAGCCACCTTTGTTAGTATCATCAGTGACTGCATTGTTGCCAACAAGGCTGTTGTTATTGTCAAGGGTCTCGATGAGTGGCCCAATGAGTACCAGAGACAGTATGGTACCATTGACTTGTACTGGATTGTCAGAGATGGAGGTCTCATGCTTCTCCTCTCTCAGCTGCTGCTCACTAAGGAGAGCTTTGAGTGCTGTAAAATCCAGGTCTTTTGCATTGCTGAGGAGGATGCAGAGGCAGATGTGCTCAAGGAAGATGTGAAGAAGTACCTCTATGATCTCCGGATGCAGGCAGAGGTGATAGTCATAACAATGAAATCATGGGAGGCCCACGTGGAGGGTTGTGGACAGCAGGATGAGTCAATGGAGGCCTTCACTGCAGCTCAGAGACGCATAGCTGCCTATATAGCAGAGATTAAACAAATAGCTCGTAAGGAGGGTACCCCACTAATGGCTGATGGAAAACCTGTGGTTGTGAATGAGCAGCAGGTGGAGAAATTCCTTTACACAACCCTGAAATTGAATTCTACAATACTCAGATATTCAAGGATGGCGGCAGTGGTGCTTGTAAGCCTTCCACCTCCACCAGCCAGTCACCCAGCATGCTTCTACATGGAGTACATGGATTTATTAGTGGAGAACGTGCCAAGACTGTTAATTGTTAGGGGTTATGGAAGAAATGTTGTGACCATTTTCACATAACTGCTTGAAGTTGCATATCTAAAGAGCAGCTGCTTCTTTTTTTTTCTCTTTTTTTTGCTATTAATGTTCATATTCATTTTTTCATTCTTTTGGAATGTTTATAACATGGACGTTTCAATTCATTCTTTGTATGCTTTCTCTTGCTAACGGCAGGAGCCATCTTCTTTTTCTGTCTCCATCTATGATAGCCCTTTGGACGAGTTTTACAAGGAAATACCATAAGGCTTTTCTGTAATCTGATGCTCCCCCCAAAAGAGAAGAAAATTATCTTAGAGAATTTTGAGGCTTCCTATTGATTTCACAATTGTTATTAAATCAGCAAAGTAGCTTATTGGAACATGTCAACTAATTCAATAAAAGACGGTGATATTTCAGTAATTAAACGACTCTCTTTGTTTTTTGATAAGTAAACGACATGGGAAACCATTAATTAGTAGTCATTGAGGAAATCAGAATAGTAGGTTTTCCCTAATTCTGAGGCCTCTCTAACACGTTTTTGCCTTTCCTTGCATCAGACAAGATCGTACACCAATTGTTCTTGTATAAGGACTATCGCTTTGAAGTTTGAACACTGTAGCTTGGATCTTCAAGTTACTACACAATAGGCAATGGCAGAGCCTCTTTCTTGTTAGCGTACACAACTTTTGAAGGAATGGGAGAATTTGAGTAGGGTAATGTTGGACCTGCCATATCTGTAACAACTAACAACCACTATTTGCAAAAGATAACATCTTGATCTTCCTTTCCTTGTCTTTTATTTATTTATTCTTTCCGAGCATTACTTACTAGACATACAGTGAAATCGGGATGGGGTTGGGCAGAGAGCACGGCGCACATTAGGGGTGATCATGGGCCAGGCTTAACACCAATGATAAGGGTTATAGCTCAGGATCAGGCTTGGCTCAGCCTAGACCTTGGACCTAAAGTATAAGCCTGGGCTCGGTCTGTAGCGCCATGAGGCCACTGGATATACCACCCAAAGCCTGTGGTTCCGTGATTTTGATCCCCCTACCGCCTGGAGGGGTGATAAGTGACTGCGGTTCCATGAGCTTTAGTTGAAAGGCAACTAAACTTCTCTCCTTGAAGTTTGACACTGAAATCCCAGGCATTAAGAATATCATCTAAAAGGGAGCAAAATTAGATTCAAAGACTGCATTGAGCCAACGAGACTCGAGGCTCGATCTAAATATAAATCTCAGTTAGTTCTTTCTCTTTTACTTGCACGTACATTCACTATCATTGTTTTTGTTGTTGGATTGTTACTATGAACTTGTGATGTCTGTGTTTTACTTGCTAATACATACACTATTTGGGTTGTATTTTGGATTATTCCGAATATATTGTTATACTTTTGTTAACTAAATTATAACCTCCATATCTCCAATCGTTTTCTATCTTTAAGATGAGGTAATACTTATCTTATTTTATTGAAGAACTACCATTCATGGGGGACATCCATCCATCCCCATTTCTCCTATCAACAAAATAATCTATTTATTAGCAAACAAAGGGTGTGATTATTGGTCCCTCATGGAGATGAGAATTTTTGGGTGATGATATCACCATTTAATTGTTGAGACCAGATCTGCTCCTCACACACCTCACATGCACTTCTTACCATGCATTGGGAAGATCTCCCGTACTTATAAGTTATTATTCAGGGGAGATGTCCCCAATACACAGCGGATGTGCATGTGAGGCACCCCTGTGTGAGGAGCATATCCCATTCCTTAATCGTTATTGTCTTGTCAAATCTACGTGATTTCTAGTTGGTCATAAAGTATCCTTATTAGAGGTATGGGTTCAAATTACGGAAAGTAGATCTTGACATTATGTGCAAGTGGGTTCTGTGTAATTTGTCACCAACCCACTGACCAGGTCTAGCATATAGCACCTGGCCCATATGTAGGGTTAAAGCTGCATCACCAATAAAAAAGGGAGAATGACGGTTCAACCCAGCATCAGAAGTCTTAGGCCCAAAGTATAGTTGGGGATTGTGCCCGGTCGAAATTGATGTCAATTCACAGACGGGCATTGATATATAGAGTGATAGTATTTGACATTTTGAATTTTTATAGGTCTGCAGAGGGATTCAGAAATCTGCAATGGGTCTGTCCATACTTTTCCATAAAAAATGGCATTGTCTTGATTAGATGAAAAGAAAACARTAAATTAGTTATCCGAACCATCAAATGAATTCAACGAGTGTATTCATTTAAACAGCGCCTTGGTAGATGATGAAATGAAGAACATTGTTTTATTCATTCATTCATTTATTTATTTATTTATTTATTTTTGTTGATATAGAAATTTTAAAAATAAATGAAAATAGAAACATTCATGTTATAGAACACCCCTTTAACCTTCTATTAATGTGAAAATAAACCTCTGATCTCCCACCAGTTGGTCCATATAAGGAAAAAATTTGGGGTTTTTATTGTTCAGCTTTTTTTTTTTGATAGATAAACTAAAATAGCATTAAAAAAGAAAGTCTATACAAGTTTGTGATAAGTTCCACCTTACAGAATCATCAGATTAGTTCTTAGCTTCCTGCGACAACAGATGAGCAGCCTGATATAACAACTTAGGATTATTTTTCAGGTTTGATAGCCTATGTCATGCATAAGACTCTCCCTACGAGGCACGGTTAAGGATATCAGTGAGTTGGGTTTATGTGGTAAACCTGTACTGAATCTACTGATCCAAACCTATGGGCTTTAGGGTCGGGTCTAGGTTGAAGTAAACCCATTCTAAATCCAACCTATTGTTGATATTGCCGCATTGGAATTTTTGTAAAAGTGAGCTTGGTGGAGGGCAGGGTTCAGGATCTCCTCTCTAAGTCTCTATTTAACTGGGTCAAGTTGAGTTTGGGTTGAATTGCTTCGAGTGGATTGGAGTTGAGACAAGTTTTAGCCGAATTCATCCTGTTGACCATGGTTTTTAAAATCGGGCCAGACCAGATGGTCGGACYGGAAAGAYCGGGAATCGGTCAGGTGATCGGTTCCGGTTTTCCTTAAAACTGGATTTTTCATAAAAACCGTTAATTTTGATCAACAAACCGCTGAACCGAGCARTTAACCGTTTGAACAGTTTTGACTGATTTTTATTTTATTAATTTTTTTTGTCAGAACGGACCAACCATTCGATTTGAACAGTAAAACCATTCGACCCGATAAATCCTAATAAATCGATTTACTGCCAATCCCAATGTCTCCTTGTCTTGATATCTTGGTGTTAGGTGCGTTTAGATTCCACATTTGGTCCAAGTGCAGCTGCATTAAATAGGACAAGGATCCACTGTAGTTGTACATCTCTTGGTGGACCCGTTCCATATAACTACTCTGTTTCTTTTATCTTTATCTTAATACACGTATACAACTTTGGTTGGTGGGTGGATCTCTCAGTTCTCAAATCTCACTTATAAGGGATTTGACTGCATTTATATCAAAGCAGTACTAATTGTTTGGAGTTTGGACTATATTAATGTTTAATGAGTAGCTATCCTACTTTTTTCGTATCTCAATAAGATCTTCTGATTCTGATTTCTAATGCAGAGCTATATACATTTAAAAGGTCAAAAACCCACTCCCTATACACCCATATTTACTACTTTGAACCTACAAATTCTGACCTGGGTTGAATCATCATTCTCCCTTTTTAATATATGATATGTCTCACTCAAAGTTTAAAATATTGATATCAGTACATTCCTTATAAATCATACTCAACCGTTCAAACTCACATTAAATTGATACAAATTAATGGTCACAAATTCATACTCAACCATTACAAATCATATTCAGTGTTACATGTCAATATTCAACCTGCCCAACCAGTAAATAAAACTGTCACTAATTAACCCAAATTAACTTCTGTTTCCTTAATTTCTTGGACCAATTTGCTCATCTTACATATCTATGCCATATAAAATAGATACTTGTTTTGAATTTGATACAAATCATAAAAGTTAAATCAGTGTATCATATCATTAACTTATAACTTTGCCCTTTCATCCTTACTTGTGCACGTGTATAGCATGTGCCCCTTAGTCTAGTTTGTATAAACCCTTTATGTTTCTTTCTTGTAATGAGGGTTTTGTTCGATAAGCAAAGTTGGTGAGAAAGAAATAATGTATTTCGCCCAACCTGTATTCGTTATTTTGAAATGTCACCCTCTCACCTATATGAATCTCAAAAAGGCATGTTAGTAAATTAGCTTCCTCTACCAATAAAATTTATGGAGAAGTACGGACAGGCCTAATGTAGATTTCTGATTTCCACTGTATAGTTATAAACATTCAAAAGGTCAAAAACCCACTCTATGCATCTATACCCACCCGTGAATTAGCATCAATTCCGAACTGGCACCTACACCAAATGTACTTTGAGCCTATAAATTCTGACCCTGGGCTGAATCATTATTCTCCCAAAAATTTAATGGGGAGTATCAAAGTATTGGAATCCAAAAGTTCAAGGGTCTTTATTGCAAATAAAATTCAAGGGGTTAAGTATCATTACCATCAAAGTATAGGGTGGCATCTATAATTTACCCCAAAAAAAGCCAATCCCTCCAAACTAGTTGCTATGCTGCCATTGTATTGGTTCGAATGAAAACTCAATGTTGCATTAGCGCTTAAAAGTTGCCTCTAAGCATTACTAAATGTAAATCGTCCAATTCTAAGGGTGATAGTGGGGTGGATTGGGCTAGGCTTACCACCGCTTGGGCCTAGACCCATACGGGTATATGATTTTAAATATATATTAGAAGAGATCCATGTAATGCATGAGCTGGTGTTAAAAAGTACACATATTCTATACAAGAGTGATTACATTTAATTTCCTAATAAAAATGAAACCCATTTAATTGTGATTGAGTTTAAATAGTTTCATGTTTAATTCTTTTTTCTTTTTAAAAAATTAAAAAATAAATAGATAGTTAATTCTAAGGGGTTGGGAAGCAATATGAGGACGACAGAGAATAAGCTGACATATGAAATTTAGGATAAATTACAAACTGCATTTTAAGCATATAGAATAGATGTATAAAATTTAGGGTAAATTACAAACTCCAACTCTGTACCTAGGGGGTGGAAGCACAATAACTTAGCCCAAAAGAGATATTTGTGATTTAGAATGCTCAATTTTGTCATTTTAATAGCT